CTTTTTAGTCTTTTTCCCAGAATGAAGCAATAATATTATACATTTTATCACATTCAATCAAAGAAAATGTTTTTAATTAATAATAATAATAAAAAAGCTTTTTTTTTTTTCATAAACCCACTTTGAAAACAGACTGGTTAATGTTTTGCTGGTTAAATCTGTCTACCATACAGCTTGTTATTAGACATTTCAGATTTATATTAACATAAAGAAAGTACAAAAAGATTATGACTGATAGACATGTTTATGGTTTTGGCAGCTTTAGAGCAGCATAGGTGCTGTTGATTTGGCTCAACCGAATATTTCTACGGAGCTTGGAAAAATCCACCTCAGCGTACTGAAAGAGAAATGAGGACAACAAATGTAGCATTTCAGAAGCAGTTGTCTATGAAGCAAAATAAATGTTATAGAAGATACTATGTTTCACATAATTTACCTGTAATTGCTGTGGATCCTGATGCTGTTCTGCAACTTGTGTCGGTTGTAGATCAGCGTTGAGTTGTTGTGATCGATCAGTAGACCTTCTGTTCCCAAATACAAAAACGTTTAATAGTCCTGTAAAAGGAACAGTAATTTACTCTTGTACTCTTACTTGTATACTGCTTCCTTATAATGATGTATATATAAATGTTTATATAAATTTCACATAAATGTCAAAATAACAATGGTAGCCAAAATTCTGCATTGACTAATTTTACTTTTGCTTTAATGAATAAAAAACGTTATATTCATATTTTTACAGATCTGAAAATAACTCACCGATCAGCACAATAATCAGAAGTCCGTTCATCAGAGCCGATATGATGCTAATAATCTGCCATTGTGTTTGATTCTGATCAATAAACTGTATGATTGTGACACTCAGTTGAGTTGATTCTGTAATGAAAGTTTCCACAGTCTGTTAAAGTAACAACTGTTAGTGTTTGTACAATGTCTGTGATTATATAAAAGACGATATACTTATGTTTTTCATAAGTATCTAAAAAATGTAGTACTAAATGTGATCATCAGTGTGTTTTGATCACCGAAGAAGCAAATTATCTCACCAATGATGAATATTGTGGTGCTGCTGCTGAGTTTTGGAGGTGTCTCTGTGTTCATACAGTAATAAACTCCTAATTCATCAACAGTCACATTATTTATAACCAGACGATGTTTAAACTGCACTGAATATTTTTTTTTTCTGAATGTTTTATTATGGTAAAAATGTGGTGATGAGGTTGAGAATGATGGTAGAATCACTGTTGGAGGATCTGCTGTTTTCAGTCAAATCAAATTAATATCATTTTCATCAAGATCACAGTTTATGCTCACATTTGATCCCAGATCAGTTACTAGATCTGTCAAGTTTGCTCTGACCACACTGTACACACTTTTTTCAACACCAAATGCCCAACACCAACGTTGTTAAGTCAAGCATGCTTTTATTGTGTTTTTAAAGCCATCGTTTTTTTTTTAAGTCATATTTAATCTCAATAACCAAAATTAGCAATTTTATCCCCTACCCTCACCCAATAAACAGGGCCACGACAAGTGTCTGATTCAGGAGAAAATGACTCTAATCAACCAATTTTATTTCGTTATTTGAAAACACACAGCATATCATTTGTAGTCCAATTTACAAGCAATGATTGGTATGATTATAAAGAATTGGTAAATAAAAAACATGACTCAGAGCAGATTTTGGCCTGATGTTGCATCAAGCTGGTACTGGTCTCAGCAGCATCATGCATCCTGTCAGCTAAAGCCGGGTCATGTGTGGCAATGAAAGCACAGCTGGCAGAAAGCATGATGGCTGACTCTTCAGAGATGTGTGTCTCAAATGACTACTACTACTAATAATAATAATCTAATAATAATAATAAATGTAAAACATGAAGTAATGGCATCAGGCTACACACCAGCCAACTGAATCCATCTTTGTAGAATAAGCCTCAAAATTTAGAGTATTTCATATGTGCTTGTTTGCTCTAAATTGAACCCTTTTGCACACAAATTTATTTTAATTTACAGACTTTATAAACCTATTCCTTTTTATTGTTATAACATTTGTCTTCAGTTTGATATATTGTGTGTGAAAAGCAGGAAGTTTTCTATTACAATTTTGAGGCGTATTCTACATAGATGAATTCAGTAATACGTTGTTTTGAGATCGTATCAACATTGTATTAAATACTTAATATTTTAACAACATCAACAATCATAAAATATATTTCATTATAATTAAAACATCATGCATATGGGGTGAGGCACCAGCGCACGCTTGGACTGGGTGCAAGTCTGGCGCTGAGGAGCCAAAGGCACACTTTTATAATCTGACAAACAGACATTCGTCAAAACAATACCAACCCGTATTATACATTAAATAGACGTTCTAAGAAGATATTTATAAGTTCTACATTAAAACAGAACACCAAAACAAGACTGTTCAACCTAGAACAATTTTGATAATTAACTAGGTAAACCAATTTGCATTGGGCCTGCACTTCGGAGACCACAGGGTGCTAGAGGGTGCTCAGAAGAGCCTCAAAGGTTTAACCGTGTTTTCAGGTCGTACCTCGTAAACATGAGGGCAGCAGAGGACTAATAATAAAACATTTTTTCTGAAGAGCGTTTGTTTTGAGATCGTATCAACATTGTATTAGAAATTTCATATTTTAACAACATCAATAATAAAAAATATTTCATTACAATTAAAACATGCACCATCAGTTTTATGGGTGCTCAACAGAAAATGTTAATGTACTAAGTTGGCCTCTAGATGGCGCCAATTGAAAAGTGCTTCGTTTGTATTCTGATATCACGTCATCCCAAACTGCAGATGCACATGCCACTAGACAAAATGGCTCTTGTATTTTCTTAAAATAGTTCATTATTTTGTGTGGGGGAAATAATTATGTGCATGTGTGTCAGTACTACAACGACAAGTACTAAGATTTAAGTCAATAAAGAAAATGAAGAGAAACACAAAGCATTTCCTGATCTTTTTTTGACAATCTTGGTGTTTATTGTAAGTATTGCATTTTAACTCACAGCTAGAATCAGAGTGGATGTTTACAAAGAATGGCCACAAGTTCATCGGGACCTCTGTTCCTTCCCAGTGGAAAAGCTTCGCCTCTAACAGACCCTTTTCCCCCCGAGTCTCTTGACAAAACACAGATGCTGTTTCAGGATCCGTTTAGCATTTTTCTTTTCCCCCGGAGCGACTGAGAGCTGATCCCAGACCAGCACCACTTCTCTGGGAAGTGTCGTTGAATTCGGATCTGGATCGGTACACGGTGGCCTCAAGAGGACACGGTCCATTCTCTTCAAAAAATAAAATAAAATAAAACAAAACTAAAAGCACCGGCATCTCAGTATGGGCCCTGGCTTTAAATAGTGCATATTCATAAACCAATAAAACAATATGAATGAAAAGGATAGACAAAAGCAACATGTCCTCTTGTGAGGACGACAGCAGAGGTTTGGCCAGGTGTTGATGAAGCACCAACGCACGTGAACACAAGTTCATCGGGACCTCTGTTCCTTCCCAGTGGAAAAGCTTCGCCTCTAACAGACCCTTTTCCCCCCCGAGTCTCTTGACAAAACACAGATGCTGTTTCAGGATCCGTTTAGCATTTTTCTTTTCCTCCGGAGCGACTGAGAGCTGATCCCAGACCAGCACCACTTCTCTGGGAAGTGTCGTTGAATTCGGATCTGGATCGGTACACGGTGGCCTCAAGAGGACACGGTCCATTCTCTTCAAAAAATAAAATAAAATAAAACAAAACTAAAAGCACCGGCATCTCAGTATGGGCCCTGGCTTTAAATAGTGCATATTCATAAACCAATAAAACAATATGAATGAAAAGGATAGACAAAAGCAACATGTCCTCTTGTGAGGACGACAGCAGAGGTTTGGCCAGGTGTTGATGAAGCACCAACGCACGTGAAAAAAACGCCTCCGCGACGTTCACCTCAGTTTGTTCTAAACAATGAATTTACACCCGACTAAAACAGTCAATACTAAAACTCTTAACTGGGGTGAGTACAACTACTCCACACATATGGGGCTGTTCAGCAGCCAAAAGCATTTGGTTGATGCTGGATCGGGACACCTAGCAGATGTCCGTGTTGCTCTATTTGCAGGCAGAACGTTTACAAATTAAGACTTGGCTTTGAAACGCACTACAATACAGCTCTGCATTTGGGGAGGAAATATAAAATAAAAATAATAAATCACAGACGGAGTGAGGTTACGGTTTAGAAGAGAATTAGGAAACTAAAAGGGAGGGGAATGCCATCAAAGATTTGACGAATGAAATAAGTCAACCCTTAATTTCCTCCGATTTCGGATCAAGGGGAGAAAATAAATACTAAGTTACTTGAGGAAAGTTAATCAAGTCTGAATGTTTCTTCTCACACAAAATAAAGAAATTAACGAGTTTAACATACAGTACAGGGGGAAGCAAGAGTTCGTGGCGCTTCGCGCTGATTTTGACGCGCATGCGCCGCTCACTCCACGTCCACAGCACACGACACTAGTAGTGGAATGCCTTTCAGCTAAAACGAATAAAATTCTGAACATAAGATCGAATAAATAAAGAGCGCCACTCAGAGTTAGCATGCCTTAAACAGAGGTCCGCGCTTTGGCGTCCCACCGACCACTGCCTGCGGTCACTCGTTCTTGTGTGTCCGATTTTAAGTACTTCAGTGTGTTGGTTGTTTAGAGAAAGTCGTCAAATTCCTCGGCCAGCCACAGAATTGAAACTACTTAGGTTTCATCCAGCATAATGAACAAATAATACTGTCCATGCCACCGCAAAAGACTCTCAGGAGGAAGATAGTCAATCTTTGCAAAAATATAATTTAAAATGCACAAAACACAAGACATACAGCAATTTCTACCCATGGGTAACTACCTTTTTTTCAACTCAGTTTTTATTTTAACTTTAATTTATTAAACTATCGTATTTATGTACAAAAGCGAGCAAGTTGGCGTTGCTCTTTTGGACGGACACGAGCGTTGTGTCTCAGGAGTAGGAGTGCTAATGTGTTGATCTGACTACAAGAGTTTATTGCTTACTTCTGCCAGAAGAGACATCTATAGTTAAACACAGGGGTGGATATTTCTCTGACGTGGCGCCAGTTCTACAGAGGGCTCTACGCGGTCGAGTGCAAGATCGCTGGGTTTTAGCTGCTGCGTGGAAAGTAGCTCCACAGTTTAATGCACCAAAAATTCCCACAGCCATGGGATCGTAGATTTTCAGTCGTCTTTGATGAACGCAGTAGATCTTTCTGCTTTATTGGTTTTGTCACGTAGCACCAATGACAGTCCTCATCGCCGTTGAGCAGCGACGTTAGAACCATTAGACCGGGTGTGAAGGAAATCAACAGGTTTGGGTTTCTTGGGTTGATATGGAGTTACACATGTCAGGTGATCCAATTTGGGTGGGTTTAGTTGAATGTTTCACTAGTGACCAGTTCACGACCCATTCATGTAGAGAATTAACAATCAGGGGTTTGAATTAAAAATTAAACATCTATTTTTATACATTTTGGCTTTCCTTTCGGAAAAAGGGGATTTGGATAATGACAATTATCAGAAAAGTCTCTTATTCAGGAATGTAACCATCTAATAATGCAATTATAATCACAATCACAGATTGTTTCCATCTCACTCATATTCTCTCAGATACATTCACAAACTTAAAACAACACATCAGGCATTCTATAGGGCGGGCGGTGTTCTGGTCACCTGACTTAAATAAGAGTCTCTGATTGGTCGAGGAGGGAAAGGTGGGTAGGAGGCAGGACTCACTTCGAGGGCTGGGATAGTGTGTGTGTGTGTGTGTGTGTGTGTGTGTAAAGGGGAGCTCGTTTTATGAGCTCAAGGCCAGTTTGATGCTGCAGGAGGAGTAGCCCTCATCGCTGGCAGTGCTCTGTAGACTGCTGTGGTCGTCCAGATCGCTGGTGCTAGCTGTGCTGACGCTGTCCAGCTCTCCATGACAGAACTCTGTGCTCTCCACATCCACCTCCATCTCTTCTGTGTTCACAGAGAGAAAGAGAAACAAAGTCAGACAACATGTTCATAGCATCGTGTATCACATCAGGTATGTCACATGAAGTGGTAAAAGATATCTAGCTTGGCATTAGAGACAGAACAATAGATGATAGAACGATAGACAGAATGACAATAACAGATAAATAGAACTACAGAACGATAGAATGACAGAATGATAGAATGAACGATCGATAGAATGATAGACAACAGAACAATAGATATAACAGAATAATTAATAGATAGATAGATAGATAGATATAGATCGATCAGAATGATAAATATAATGACAGAACAATTGAACGATAGAACGACAGACAGACAGACAGATAGATAGATAGATAGAACGATATAACGACAGACAGACAGACAGACAGATAGATAGATAGAACAGAACGATAGATATAACAGAACGATAAATAGAACAGAACGATATATAGAACAGAACGATAGAATGATATAACGACAGACAGACAGACAGATATAGATAGATATAACAGAATAATTAATAGATAGATAGATAGATAGATAGATAGATCAGAATGATAGATATAATGACAGAACAATTGAACGATATAACGACAGACAGACAGACAGACAGACAGATAGATAGATAGATAGAACAGAACGATAGATATAACAGAACGATAAATAGAACAGAACGATAGATAGAACAGAACGATAGAATGATATAACGACAGACAGACAGACAGATATAACGACAGACAGACAGACAGACAGATAGATAGATAGAACAGAACGATAGATATAACAGAACGATAAATAGAACAGAACGATATATAGAACAGAACGATAGAATGATATAACGACAGACAGACAGACAGATATAACGACAGACAGACAGACAGACAGATAGATAGATAGATAGATAGAACAGAATAATAGATAGACTGACAGAACAATAGATAGATAGAACAATATAACGTCAGACAGACAGACAGATAGATAGATAGATAGATAGAATGACAGAACAATAGAATGATACAACGATATAACGATATAACGACAGACAGAAAGACAGATAGAACAGAATAATAGATAGACTGACAGAACGATAGAACGACAGACAGACAGACAGACAGATAGATAGAACGATAGAATGATAGATAGATAGAACGATAGATAGATAGATAGATAGATAGATAAAGATGTATTTATTTAAGTTTACATTATATATAATAGATATATAAACACATGAAGCTCCAACCTTGGTCGGAGTCAGAGCGGTCGGATCTCTCGGAGCTGAGGGTGGAGCCTACACTGTCAGTGCGTATCCTCTCGCCCTCCAGCACACCCCCGCCGCCCCGCAGCAGGTCCAGTCGCCTCCGGAGGTGACGCTGCTCTCGCTCCAAACTCTCCAACTGATACTGAGACTTACGCTCCGCTTCCTCCAGTTTCTGTGGGAAGACAAAGAACGGTGACTCATGGATAATTACGGAAAATCACTAACGGCACGCACAAAAGAATTCACGGTGTAATCAATGGTTATTACAGCTAATGCACAAGTAAAGACACGTTCAGCGCTACAAGACCTTTAATTTATTTTGTTCCTTTTTGGGAAATTTATTGGGAAATGTTGCAAGCCAGATTCAAACCTGCATTGATTTGCAAGAGCACTAACCAAAATTTTAAACAACTTCATTAACATCATGCTATATGAAATAGCAGGACGGGTGATTTAAATAGGTGTGTTTTGTCAAGCTCATGTGACTAATGGATTTGTTTACTACAGTTCTGAACCCAGTTCGGATCAATAACCCCCCCCCCCCATGTGACCTTTGTGCCCTTATAATACATTATATCTGTCTGTAGTGCTTGACATGTGTTTTACAAAAAAGCTCTTAAGGCATAGAAACTGATTTGTCACATAAAGGGACGTGGCTCTGCTTACAGAAAGCTGTGGGTTTTTTGTAAGGTGTTGTAGCTGTTTAAATGTGCGGATGTGAATATTTTATATAAGTGTAGTCTTTTACATACAATAAATAAAACGGCTTTTATTTGGCTACTGATCAGACTTTATCTGATTAATAATCTGATTTTACTGTTAATTTCTTTACGTCTAAAACGTTTTTAATTAAGAAAGTGTTTTAGTGTTTTAATGCAGTGTTGTTATTGGTAACAAAAAAACAAAAAACTATTAAAATAACCTGTTACATTTTAGTTAATTGAAGTTCAATTTAAAAACCTTTGTTACATTTTAGTTACATTTTTAGTTAATTGAAATTAAATTTAAATAAAATACAAATATTACATGCAAAACTTAAACTAAAAAAGTAAAATTAAAAAAAAGCCTTGGCAACTACCTGACATAAAACAAGTTTAAGTTGATATACTAAAATTATTAAAAATTAAAACTTAAAAAAAAGCAGACAAAAAAAAACATAAGATGAAAAAAAACAAAAATAATTACTAAAACGTACAATAAAAATAAAACAAAACAATTAAACAATTCAAAACATTACTAAATATTTTATATATTAATAATACTAAAATAACACTGAATATGCTGTTGATAGTTATTCATATTGACATATGGAAGAGTTTGGAAGTTTCTGGTGTCTTATCAGCTGTGTGGTTATCCGCCAATGCAATAATCTCAAAATGTCAAAATTAAAAATAAATAAATAAATGAATGAATAAAATAAATGAATTAATTGACAAAGAAGTAACAGTAAATGTTGTTTAGACTGGACAGGAGATCACAGGCAGAGACAGGAGCTACAGGATGAGTAAATGTGGCGAGTCAAATTCGAACTCATATTTCCCACATGAGCACCATGGCTCAGTGTCAGAGCATGTGCGCAAACCACCAGGCCACAGCTCCGACATCATTAGCTTAATTTAGGAGCTCCTCTCAAGTGTGTTTACCTTTATGTGTGTTTTGGCCTTGTTGAGCAGTCCCAGAGTGGTGTGGCGGCTGCAGTCTTGTCCCAGCGGAATGAGAGTCTTCAGTCGCTCCAGACACAAACGAAGGTGGGCTCGCCTGAAACATGACAAACTGAAACGTCAGCCTCGTACACACACGCACGCACACGCCCTGAAAAAACGCAATGAACTCGCTGTACCTGTGTGATCTGACCAACCGCTTATGAGACAACACCTCATTCTCTGGCTTAAACACAAAGCACACACACACATGCCACTGACTACCTGAAGATTGTATTCTAGGAACTCAAAAGTTGAGGTTGAGATTGTTTCCTTTCTGTTGCAAAAGTGACCTATGTGTCCAACAGTTATTAGTGTTAACTAAAACTAAAAATAAGTATTTTAAATACTTGAAATAAAATAAAAATTAAGAATGAACAATAGAACCATATAAAGAACAACAGATGGAACCAAAGAATGGTAGACATAATAGAACTATAGACAGAATGATAGATAGAACAATCAAGAGACAGACAGAAAGACGCTCCAGTGTCTGCCTCGGTGTGTGTGGACATTGATTGATCAACCTGGTGCATTAATGGCTGTCAGGGAGCAGACTGGTATTTTAGACTTACTTGTAGCTCATACAAATGACTGCACCAGGCCTCTAATTCATCTACACCCATTTTGCCCAACAACCCCTTCACCATGGCAACCAGAAGTAACGCAAATATCTTTAAAGTACTTCTCACGCTATCTACATATCATCTGTCTCCAGACATGACAGCGTCACGGCACGCACTCAAACAGTGCTTGTCGGGAAGGTCGTATATATGTGCGCGTGTTTGCTTTCGTCTGTGTGTGGAGTGATGAATGACTTCGTTTCAGTCGGCAGACAAGAGACCGTGCCAAACAACAATCACTAAGTATGTCGTCTCGCAGGCTAAGTGAAAAACAACACCTTTAAAATACCTAATTATTACGTCACGCATTAAACACCTCAGTTTCTGTGGTACCTAAAAAGATTGGTTGCATAATGCGAGAAATCAAAACAGAAACCAACGCAAAAACACACACAAAAAAAATTGACACGTAATATGATCTAGGTAAAGTTAGGTGTGTTTCAGTTACTATGAATAACTTGCAGTTCGAACGACAATGCATGCGCAGTAAAGTTATGTAACATAGATGAACTTTATCCCGTTAGCTTTGTTGCAAAATCAAAATTAGCAGTTTGATTCCTACATAGGCAGCTGCCTTCTAAAGAGGAATGCTACACTCTTAAAAATAAGGGTTCTTTATTGGTATCAATGAAGAACCTTTCTACTTTACAAAAGGTTCTTTATAGTGGAAAAATTTTCTTTAGATTTTTCAAATGTTTTTCACATTCAGAAAAATTGTTCTTTGAAAAGTTATTTGGGGAACCGAAAACAGTTGTTCTATGGCATCACTGCAAAAAAAAAAAAAAACTTTTACAACCTTTATTTATTTATTTATTAAGATTTATTTTTTGGCATTTTTGCCTTTATTATGACGGGACAGGAAGTGAAGTGGGAGAGAGATGGGGGCGGGATCGGGAAAGTCCTCGAGTCAGGATTCGAACTTGGGATAGTCCATAGTATGTCGGTGCGCTGCCCACAAGGCTATTGGCACCGACACAACCTTTATTTTTAATAGTGAACCGTCTTTGAACCTCATAAATGGCTGATATGAAAAAGTTTACATGTACAGACAAATAAAAACCCCTCTGCAAGGGAAACTCAACTTACAATTGACTCCAATGGAACTAACAGCACAATTCTGCACACCATTTTTATTGATACTTTTTTGTTGCACTGCATTCTGGGATTGCCTTTTCCTTTCCACAAAGGCAAATGTGACTAAAACAAGTTAACTATATTGCCTTAAAATGCTGCCTCTGTAGGCAGTTCATTTGGTTTTGGAACAGAGTAAATGAACGACCCTTGATAATTGTGGGTGTGTAGAATCTGTGCTTCAAAGCTGCAAGCGGAGTCTATTCTTCTGGTCAAGATCTGACGCTGGTAGAAGATGCCAAGTATTATACTCCTCTGCATTAGTCATATAGAGAACTCCACAACTCGATTTAATAATAACTCAAATCAAACGTGCCTCTTATGTTTGAGCGTGTTCAGACCTGCTCTCTCTTACACCCCGAGCAAGAATTTTATTATGACAAAACATCTTTACATTTCCTTTAAATGACTCATAAAAATAAACACACACGCTCATAGTCAGTGCTGTCATGATCATGAAATGTTGGATTATATTTAATTATCAAACAAATGCAATATATAATGTATAATGCATTCATGTGCACTTGCTTGCACTGTAATGTTTATACACATACATCTTTAGATAGATAGATACGTCCTTTCTGTCCTCTGGTGTGGTGGGGGTTTTATTAGGGGTTGAAAACACATGCTTGCTCCAGATTCTGCTTGGTTTATTGGTAAATAATGAATGGAGTTGGCATAATGCTATGGGCCTAGCATGGTAATAAGTAATGTCAAGGTCAAGAGGGGGTCGACGCCATTCGAACCCGCTCTTAAATTATAATCTGCATTGAGAACAAAATATTCAACACATTTTCCCCACACAAGTGTGTGGAAAAAAGTATGCAGATTACATACTGGCCTGGCTATTTGTCAACTATCCATATATACACATGTATAATCATAGCTTGCTTCAACAGCAGGAAATCTCACATTTTCCCACGCAGCACCTCTGTCTATGCATCCTGAATCTTAGCATTTTTCTTTAAGTGAGAACACAAACTGCATCCTCTCTCGCAATCAACCACCTATTTATAGCATCACGTGCATGTAATATAGATAAAACCCCGAGCCATAATGATGACATGGAGTTACCGTACAGCAATGTATGCACACTAAAAACGTCAGGGTTTTTTCCTACGGATTCTCCCGTAGTATATTTTTCTCCATTGCCTCACATGATGCCTTTAAAGCGTCGTGTCACATGGCTGGGTTATTGGACACCACTGCACAGATTACAAAGCAAGAACAGGCTCTGGGTTCTCAAGCCCTAGTTCGGATCTGATCAATAAAGCAGGACTGACAGCTTGATCTGGGTTACCAGCCTTGCTTTATTTAAAGGTTTGGCCATGTGCTTTATGATGTCACAACGGGTGAGCATGCAGAAGTGTCCCCATCATATCATTAACAGTCCCGAGCTATCGAACAGCTCTCAGATTAAACGCGAGCAGTATCCTCCCCCACCACTTAAACACACAGATGGGAGGCCATTATTGGTGCTAGTCCTCGGTTCTCATGTAATCTGTCCAAAAACTGGATGAAAAGCAATACGAGCATGACATTAGAGAGATGTACCAACCTATAAGCAAAGTACACTCATGCTGAGAATAAAAGCAACCTTCAAATGTGGGCAGAGAACGAGGGAGGGAGAGATGGTTGCAGATGTAAAGTTAGAAGGTGGGGGTAGTCAGGATAGAGAGAATGAAAGGGAGATGAATAAAGAGGTAGGAGGAAAAGACAGATACCGGTGGAAAGAGAGTAGAGACAGACACTATGACGGCACTATATGTAAACATGCTTGGAAACAAAGAAGCCTTTGAGCCATGCATGGGCTGAACCAATGACAGCTTACTGTACAACACACGAAGGGCGGTGGATGTGCAAAAATACATATTTTCAAAATCGAATAGTGAGTGGGTTGCCTGCATATAGCTAGTCGACGGACTAGTCTCATTCAGCATCAACAGATCACGAAGTAATGTAATAGGCTGCAAGTGTTTAAAAAAAAGGTGACTCTTTTTTAACTTCATACAGGTCTTGAATGCAATTTTCATGGTGGGATGCTCAAAAAACTGTGTGAGATGTGATACAAGAAGCAGCACTAAAAATATCAAAAACTACAAACAAACAATTGAAAAAATGTGGATGAACTAGTCTCACTTCCATTCGTCTAGTCAGTTGTTGTGCAAATAGTCAAACATTGAGACCCATCCCTAGTAGGGAGAGACAGAACGAGACCTACATCGGGCTGAGAATATACCTTTGCTGCACCCCTGGTTAAACACACATACATAAACACACGCACTACAGGCAGAGTGATGGCTACAATCCACTGGGAAATAAAGGAGCATGTACAAACTCAGACAGTAACAGCTGTGGTGGAGCAAGGCCCGCTCTGGCCCATCAGTAACACATGGATTAGTTCACACGTGCTGAGCTATAATCTGCTCCGTACAGCCCAGACCAGCAGACCCCACTCACATGCCCACAGAGTTTATGTATGTGGTCATGTGATTGCTGCCCCCATACCTAAAGCTTCTGCAGATGGCTGCGTGCATGGAAAACACAGATTCTCTATTGTATGGCACTCTATTACGTGGGTTTCAATTGGCCAGAAGGTTGTAGACACTTTGGATAATCTAATAAACGTGAGGTGATCCCAAAAACAAACGGGACGAAATCAGAAAACAGAAACGTCACCAGATGTTTGGATCACACCACTCTCTCTCAGAAAATCCACTCAATTCATTTTACTTCCCGAAAGGCCGCCTAATCCGAACACAAAAAATACACACGCAGCGGTGGTGGAAGGGCAAACAGCCATAGGACTCTTCCATAATCAGATCAAAGGCCATGACACACAAAGCAAAGGACCATGGGTGCAGATCAATGTGGTTGGTTATGATTGGACGACCTTCAGGAGGTCCACTGATTGGATGGCTGGATAGTATAGCTTTGTCCCGCATGCCATGAGGAGTACCTAGGCCAAGCATAACTCAATATATGCCATGGCACTCTGTGATAGGCCTCAGGGCTGTAACCACCACAAACATTGAGGAGGACATGTCACCCCAATATTTCGATCAGTAGTTGCCCAATAATAAAAAAAATTTTTCAGTGGCCAATTGTTAAGTTGGACATTTCAAGTTCAATTTGGTCCTTGCACCAATTTTGAACGTTTAGTTACATCCTTGCCAGGCCTGCAAACTGTCATACTTTGACACGGAGAAACAAAAAACCATACAAATTTCATTATCAGGTTTTAAGGGTGTTGCTGGTGACATTCAACTGACTGTGTCATTCAGGAATGTTACTTGCTTCCTAGATTTCAGCCTGTAATTCAAGAATTTGGTTGTACTAGTAAGGAGGAGTCTAAAAATGTTGGGTGTGGATGTATAGCAAGGTTTATGATGGCATCAAGGATGTGGGTCTGTTTGTGTGTTGTTTCTGTAACCTTACCCACTAGTAACCATGCGTGCTGCATTTGAAGCGAGATGTGCGATGAAACACTGTGTTCTTTTAAAGAACACAGTAAATGTGGGGCAAGGCAGAGCAGTAGTGGCCTCTGAATCTCAAATGTCCTCTGCTATACTCTTTCGACATAACCCAAAGACTGCCACAGGGGTGTGTGTCCTTCCCGACTCACCCAAAACACCCAGAGCTTTGTCAACCTTCCATAGCATGAGTGTGCATCTATGCGTGCACTGTGAACATGCCCTGGCACGTGTGTGTGTCTACATTGCTTACTTGACCAAAGATCATACTTCCTAAGCTGCTTTTGCTAGCCAAGAAAAGCTTACAAGGCATCAGGTCAGAGAGAACAGTCAGTTCTCAGCTTCCCTTCCAGGGGTTTCTGGAATTCCCAGGGGAAGCGGAATGTTCTGACTCTATCTTCCTCTGTACTGTGGGAGGACAACATGTAAGGTCATCGGCAGCGAGTTCTTGTGGAGCACACTTTGGCTATGGATGACGTCGTATCTTCTAAACGCACTTTATTCCTAATGATTCTCTTTGTGGGCGGAAGTGTGTTGTAGCCAATCAGCCCAATCGCCTCTACGTTCTGAAAAGATCTTTTCTTAGGGCCGCTGGTCTATTTTCAGTAAGCCAGCTTGGCAGCTTTATTCCTGAGCCTTTGCATTCTGACTGTCAAACACACCACGGCCCACACATGCACGACAGTGTGCTTAACACTCAACCAAACACCCTCACTTTCATATACCCAATAATTAACAACCACATACCCATAATTGGAAATGAAATCAGTGATTTCAGTTCAATTCGACATCTTCCTTAGCTGACATCCGAACTGTGCAACCAAACCCAAGTTCAGGAAGTTGAGGCTCACCACATATGTTCAAAGGCATCATAAGATCAAACGGCGGCATGCTTGCATGAACACGCGTGTGATATCTGTATACGTATGGTGGCTTGCGAGAGGCCGGAATGCGGTCACAAGGCTTTCATCTCCTTCCTCTTCCTTTCTCACATGCAAAAACACTGAGCTATCTTACATCTTCATCAAACAGAAACTGTATGTGATGCCTGACACAAAATGGTCACCGCTTGCCACCTGGGACTGCAGTAAGGCATTGGCAAGCAGGAAACTGTCTTTTATTATTATTAAACAGCATTTTGGTATATCATGAAAGAAGGTAACTTGGAAGGGATGTATTAAAACTTTGTGCTGTTGGGATGTTAGGTACAAAAATTAAAATTTTAGGTGTCCTATCTTTGAGAACTCTACAAGTCATGCGGAGTCAGGGTCAGTGGCGGCTCGTGGGTTTTAAAATAGAGGAGGCACACCAATTGTATTGGTCTGGTCGCACATTCGTGATAGAAAAGCGGCGCTTTCCAACTTCAGTAACATGTTATGGTATTACAGCTGTGAAATTACAAACAAAAAATACACGTTCTGAGATATGAACTGAAATGAATTGTGAATTTTATTAATATTAAATCGTCCTCCTCCCATTTTCACCTCAAAATTTTGGGGAAGCTGTGCCTCCCCTGCCTCCCCCGACGAGCCGCCACTGGTCAGGGGTAATATGGTTTTGTGTTGGGTGTGGCTGCTGACTGTACCTTCATCATAATGTGTTGTGTAATATTTGTTTGTGCTGACACTAAAGGCTGTCCGACAAGCCCTGTCCTCTTTATCTGTACCAAACCCATACAACCCCACGCCAGCGCACTGACAACCCTTCACATGTGTAGACATTATCTGAGAAACCCAGCCGGTCTGGTAGGAGATGAGTCTATTGCATGCTCACATACATATGGTGCATTAAAACTACTCAAGTAAAACTGTGTGCTTTGGTCCACCAATGATTCTGCAGCAAATTCTTTGTCCAAGTTTCCAATCTCACCCATGTCCCATCTAAAATGACTGGCAAACAAATAAACGTGACACTCCATGACTAAGCTGTGCTTAAGAAAAGTTAATAGAGCTCCAGGTTTTCATATAGAGGGTCACAAAGGAGTTCCTGTTAGTCTAGACGAGAGTTATTTTCGGTCTTTGAAGTGGAGCCTTCAGTATTCGCGTGCATAGAGCCTAAACAGCAGGCCCCGCATTGTCGGTGTCTAATGCCTATCAGATAAGCACTCATGAGACCAGAACATACAGTCCATCATCTGTAAACACTCATGCATTGCGTTCACTATGCACACAGGTGGCGATTTCAAAGAAAAACACTACCCATATGTTTGGGACATTTCAAAGAAATCACACTTGTATTCTTCTAATAATGTACACCTACAGTAAAAACCGGTTTCCTTCTGTGAACATCCTATTATGCAAATGACATTGTGAAAGAACGGACATATGAGTGCGTCTATCATTTCTGTTGTCTCCCTGGACTCTGGGCAGTAATCTGAAGCTGAGGCTGCATTAGTTATGCAGGACCGAGGGGCGGGTGAGCCATGAGGAGAGGGAATGCCCTTAGATTAGCAGAATTGGGTCACCTCTTAGTTTCACTTTTAGGTGCCTGTTGCTGCAGGAACAAGCTGAGGACAACTGTAGGACAATTCTCCCGTGTTTCAAACGTCCTGTTCGCCCTAAGTAATGCCGTTTTTATTTTACATATTTAATGAAATTTGAAAAGTAGCATCAATACTTGAGGTGAAGGGATTTTTTTTTAAGCACTACAATTATTCCTCATGATACTTTATCAATTTACTCAGGAACCACATTTTTTTGTAACTTTTATAACTTAAGACCACCATTGCATAACTTTCTGCAATGGTGTCTCATTACTAAGGATCTTACAATGTTAACTGCAAGTCTTTTCGGCAATGACAAATATACACTATTCCCTCACGTACCAACACTTGCTCTACAAAAAAGCAAAGCAGGAAATATAGCAACCAAACCACAAAGCTCCAACTTCCAATTTTGATTGTGAGTAAAAGACTGCAATACATCACTGTTTTCAACCACAACATATTAAAAAAAAACTAAAGCATTGGTCTCATATTGGGACCCAAATATCATCTCCTTGCTGACTCTCACCTTTTTTAAATTAAAATTTTAGTACCTATTTGTAGGGCTGCCACTAACGACTATTTTTATTTCGATTAATCTTTCGACTAATTTGTCGATTAATCGGTTAATCTAAGCGATTAATTTCCCACAAAAACCCCAACAACAATTTTACTTAAGAATATTTTATTAAACTATATTTTATTAAACCAAATGAAATCCAAATTTTTTATGAAATCCTTTTTTTAAAGCAAAAGTAAAGTGCAACACATATAATTATTTAATTAAATCGTAGCGTTTGTGAATTCACAATTATGCTTAATTTAATATGTCATGCAGCCTTGGGAAACAGAATAATAATGTGTTTTATGGATTCTCGTCCGTGAAATGCGTCACTTCCGGTATTTTGCCGGTTAGTTGACGCAAGCAAAATGAAGTCTAGGATTTTTTTTAAAATCGAATAGTCTAATAAAATCGACGAATCACGACAGCCCTACCTATTTGTAATCATGACAATTAACGCACGTTCAAGTTGTGGTGCTCATGAGGTTGAGGCAAGTTTAAGTGATATTGGCTTGTGATATTTCCTATCATTGCCAGTGTTCTCAGTATTAAGGTGTAAAAAAAATAAAATAAATAAAAACTTAAAAATCGTACTTACCGATTTTTCTCCAGCTCATTGTGTGTGGACCTATAAAACAAAACAGAAGCAATGAATGAGCAAACATCAACTTTCTTGTGAGTCTGTGAGGTTTTTATCATAACCCCCATCATAAGCATAAGCTCATTTCTTGAGCACTTATCTCCAGATTTAAACGTCACCTCTCATCGTGAGATCAGAGAACATGTATGCAGAAAAAAGCCTGGCCGCTCATAAAGAACAAGATTATGCATCATTAAAGGTTCCAAAGGATTTACTAATTAATCTTTATTGGGGGGTTAAACCAGCCACAACCAATCCAGTGGCTCCAGAAGGAATTATAAAGGCTCCTCTAAATGACCCACATGCCACTGCAACTCTTTGTTTGCAGCGTAAAGACAGAGAAATGAAGTGTGCAGAGCAGAGAAAGCGAGCACAACGACCAGTCTATATGCGAGCACATGAGAGAGCTCTCCTCTTCGTACAATGAGTGAGTGCCAGTGGACGCTCTCTCTCTCTCGCCCTCTCTGAGAGCACGAGTCAGTGTTATGTTAATAATGTAAAGTGAATCAGCCGTCCCCCTAAGAGGCTCTTTGTGTGGCAACATGCTGAAAGCTTTTCCAAAGCTCTAAATGGCCGGCTGAACCGGTGCACGGCAATGCCGTTGTAGGGGCAGCAAGTCGTGGATGCAGCGAGGGCCTACTTCTCCATGGGTCATGTGACCACTTTCCCTTCCCGACTATTAATACCAAGATCGTGTTTTCAGGCATCCTGTAGCTGACCTTATGGTATTGCCGCTTCTGCACGGGAGGATGCTTGCAAGCTCAAGGGGGAGGAGGAATAGAGCGAGGGAGGAAAAGACATAAAAAAACGAACTGTATGCATGTGTTTTCACAGCTCTTATTTTTGTGTGATAGGATGTGTAGTGTCAAGAGACATACACTCTAGGAAAAGACCGTATAAATGGCACACAGTGTTGATTTTCACGGGTTTTTACCTGTTGTTTTGAAATACATTACAATACACACAATGAAATACAATTTTGCATTGTGTTGTATTTAGGGTTCAAGTGTCAGGGTTCAAGGGTTCAAGTGTCCGTAAACTTAATGTCCTGGTAGGAAATTACCTGTACATTTTAATTTTTCTATGGATGTTTTTCTTACAGTGTAACACTGGCATATTCTGTATTTATTATTTGCAGCAGAAGTGAAAAAATCTTGTATTTTAATGCTAAAAAATTTGGGTTGCCAAAGGCATACAAAACAAACAAAAATGAGGATGCCCCACATAGTTTTTTAAACATGTGGAAAAGTATTTTTTCCTCACAATCTTTCCACCATCTTCATTTCAACCGAAGCAGCCTGAATGACCTCTTCTCGGGAGACACAAACAGGCACGCCAGATGATCAGATAGTGTTTCCTTTACATTCCCTCCATCAGTGCTCGCTTTGTGTACAGTAACACAGACCTGAGATCAGTCATCAAGATGTCTGTTACTTAGAAATGCAGTGAAACAAAACAGACGGAACTGACACCACACTAAACATACTCACACGCACATTGCGTCTAAGAGAAGAGGAAAAAATAACCCTTGTGAGCTGCTCACCTAAATGGCATTTTGGTCAGTGCAAAACCTGTAGCTAGATGGCATTTTGATAAACTCAAAATCTGTACCTAGACAGCATTTTTTGTAAATTCGAAACCTATCGATAGATGCCATTTTTGGTCAACTCAAAACCTGTAGCTAGACGGCATTTTTGGTCAACTCGAAATAGGGCTGCACGATATATCGTTTCAGCATCGATATCGCGATGTGCGCATCCGCGATAGTCACATCGCAGGATGTGCGATGTTTAGTATAGGCTACTGATCGTTATATTTGCCATTAAATGCCATTTTTGGTCAACTCAAAACCTGTAACTAGATGGCATTTTTGGTCAACTCAAAATCTGTAGCTGGACATCTTTTGTTTTTTGGGGGGGCAACATAAAACTTGATAAATTGCCTACAGTGAAAGAAATTCTGGGCATCTCGAAACCTAGTGAACTACCGGTACTTACACAGACGAATTTTAGGCATCACAAAAAAGTGACCAACCTAGACGGCATGTTAAACATGAATAAACCAACGCTGACGAAAATTAAACATGCAGTAAACCATGGCTTTTGGCAGATTGATTGCGTTTGTATAACCACCGTTTTACTACAAATACCATGGTTAAACTATGGTTAGTGCAGCAAAACCATGGTTAATTTATGGTTACCATGGTTTAACTATAATAACCATGTTTTTGGTTTTATTTGGTTAATTTTCGCACTGTCTACCCAGTTGCCAATTCTGGGCATCACAAAACCTAGTGAGCTGCCTACCTGGATGATATTATTGGCCATCTCAAACGCTAGTAAGCTGTCTACCAACATAACATTTATTGGCATCATAGCCGCGCACCGTTTTCGCGATTTAACAAAGCGCCTTTTAATAGACGGATTAAAACGCCTGTTATTGCATTTTCGATTAGTTTCTTTTATCAAATCGACATTTAGCAGAAAAAGACCGGTGACAATTTTCCAAAACATGTTTTAGAAGGAGAATAACGTGGAAAATTAATTTAATAAAGACGCCTCAGGCTGTTCACCTTGGCAGCCTGAAAACAACAGTTGCTGTAAATAAGAGCCATGCGTTCAAGGGTCCGGGGCAAATTTAAAGTAGGCTACTCTTCTCGTAAAAACCAATAGTTCAACCTGATTTGTTTTTTTTCCCCACTGACTCTATAGCGGACATTACCGCAGACGCGTCAAAATACACGAAAGATATCGACACTGCAGACTTTCGGTTCAAACAAAACGAAACCAAATGGCGCTCAAAAGCGAAAACAGGACGTGAGGTTTTGCACGGTCCCTAACCTCAAGCTGCAGCAGTCCAGTTTGACAATCAGCTGATGAGAGCTCCCCTCCCCCAAAACAAATCAAGCAACAACAAAAAATAATAATACACCACCTTTCAGAAGCAGAAATGTCTATTTCATTAATAA